TTGTATAAAATAAAATACCACTATTCTTGTCAATCAACTGCATTCTACCTTGCAAATTCATAGTTAATATAATACGTATAAACAAACATACAAATGTACAGTGCCGGGCAAAACATTTGCAATTGGGCTACAGTCTAAAAATATATTTCAAATAAAATAGTTTTAAGCTCGTGTTTACAAAACTTAACTACTATAGCAACATATTAATATAAAAAAGAACCAAGACGAACGAATACCGTTTAGGTTTTACAACAAAAAACTTCAGTTATTGCCGACCTAAGGAGGGAGGGGCGACATGATGAAGTTTTCCGTTTTCAATGTTAATATTTATTTTTATATACATACGTGTGTAGAATATGAAATTTCATTTCAAAAATTTGATTTTTGGCCCAAAACCTCTGTAGAAACCTATTGTAGGAGGGCTCTTTTGGTTTCAATGATTTTCAGTGGCAATGTTTATTTGTAGATACGAATGTATAATACCAATGATATCATACTTTTAGTACTTTTTACTTAGATTTGACCAAAGCCACTTATCTAACTCTTGCTCCTGCGGCTTCAATCATCACTTTCAGACATCCCTGAGACAGAATCTCAAATCTGAAAAATCATTCGTACATATGCTATTGTAATCCGATCTGGCCAATACTGACATCTCTGAATCAAGTTTGGTTGAAATATCTCGAAAACTGAGGGACTACTTCGCGTACAAACAGACGGACCCGATCGGCATGAGATAATGATTATATCATATCATGTATACGAAAGTAATAAAAATATTTTCGTAAAATACCACAAGCACAAATCGTCAATTCCTCAAATTTGTAGAAAATAAAACCTTAGGTGTTGTATCATCTACAAAATTAGAGATTAGAGATCAAAAAATATCTGTTCAAGAGTTCTCTCTGATTGGTAAAACCGTTAAAATTATTGATTTCCCACGAATGTCTCTCGTCGCCTAGCTGCCGCAGATTTGTGTAATTATCGTGCTGTTGACGTAGGGGTCGGAATTTAATTTAATGGATAGTGATGATATCTCTTTCGCCAAGCTATTTCATGCCCTGGGCATGCTCTTCGTTAACTGGCCTCTTTATCAAATCACTGGAACATGGACCAATACGTATGCCGGCAGACTAAATACTACCATAGGTCTAATATGAACTGCTGTTAAAATAGGACATTGCCCCAAACTACATGGAAAACGTTCTGCAAATATTGTCCAGATGACCCAGTTTGTGTTGATGGACTGACTTCACACTTTCTGAAACCTAATCCTAATAAGAAATATTGGAGGATAGTTAAGTATAGGATTTACCGCAGTAATGTGTTAAATCTTGTTGAATTTCTTTTCAGAGTTCACAACGCATGCAAAATTTTTTTCTTATTCGTCACACTGACTTTATGTGTTTAATTACATATTTTTGTAGCATTTAAAAGCCGAGTATTGAAACTTGGTCCTACATCAAATAAAGAGTAAAATCAAACTGCCTAATAAAATAGCAGCCGGTACAGCGTATTTTGCAATTGCTGAAGTAGATCCTCCTAGTTGCAACTGTTTTGTGCGATACTGTAGATTTTAGTATTTGTTTGGTGTTGGCAGGAAATAGACTTACCGGCTTCAGCTTTATTTGAGGAAGATAGATAATTTCTGTTGGGGGATACCCAACATAAGTTCTGTATGAACAGGTACATAACCCATTAGGTGGCAATCATATTTATACATCTATAGGTTAGGTATATAATTTTTTTTGAAAGGGGTGCTTAATGCTCAGTTTTTCGGTAAATTTTTAAGTCTCTTTTTTTTAACGAAAACGAGTTTTCGGTTTTTGGGAAGATCGCTTGTATAAATTAGATATAGTCATTTGTGAAGATTTTGGAAAACATTATTAATTTTTAGCTAATAGGCCTATAGGAGCCTAGCATGGTTGCATCTTTACCGGCTATCTCCGAGAGCTTTCCGGAAAATAGTACAATGCTATTAGAGATAAAGATAAAAATGTGTTTGATTGCGACATGTAAGCCATGCGGAATCTCATTTTTTATATCACCCTATCGTAGTATCCAAGAGATTTCATTTTCTTTATGCCATTAGCGATAATGTCTCTGAGAGATTTTAAATCAAATTGAATACAATTTTCAAAAGAATCTTTATCAAATTCTTGGAAAAAGATATATCCAAGATAAATGAATGAAATAGATCTGCATCTGTTCCATTTTCAAGAAAAAAAGAGAGAATTTCTGGCAGACCTAACCTCAAATATGATTTCTTCCAAAATATGTATATCGTTCTATGGCTCACTTTCTGGAGCAAAAGTTTCACATCATTATGAGCTTTTTGTATGTAAAAAATTTTCAACGAAATGAAATAAATTAAAATTTGAAAATTAAGAATTTTAACGGTACATGAATGAATTACTCCAAAACCAGCAGTTTTTATGCAGCCTAAAGTCGTTTCTATGACCCGATTTCACCACATTCTAAATTTATTTGAGTTGCACATTTTATCCGGCGATGAAAAACGTCAAATATATTGTAATATATGTATGTACATATTTAAGCAATTAAATGTTAATTCTGCTTAGGATATGAAAATGTCATTTATCTTATTCATCTTGAAATGAATATAGTTTATGCTTTTTTGCATTAAACACATTTTTGATTCCATTAAAATTCTCAATAAAGTTTCCAAAAATGATCTGGATCTTTTTTCTCTATTTAAACTCTTTAGAAGCACCCTTTATACATGCCATCCTTAAATACCTTCCGGCAGTTGGGGTCGTAATTTTGTCTGATGCAGCTATGCAGATAACACTCACGGCTACACAGGTTTTGTGTTTTCCTTACCAAAGTAACATTGGCATTCGAGTAAACAAATAGTTCGGGCTAATGAACTCGTGCAATTGACTTTACGTTTGTATATATGTTACAAAGTACTCGTATGTATAAATGTTTGCATGGAGATATGCCAATGTATGTATGTATATGTATAAGTTCAATTCAATATTAATAAATGAAATAAATAAATACTCACTAATTTTAAGCTCTATCCAAACTCACACATACATATAATATGTGCATAGAATACAGTTATAAAAATCAATATTTTCAAAAATTTAACCAAAAGTAAATACTACTAAAAACAATCAAGAAGAGTTGCCTTCGGTCATACCGTAGTGTAGTTCATTTTAGAATTACAAATTCATAGTGGTCTGATCCGGACGGTTCTGACAAAATATCACTTAAATGTACCAGTGAGCCTCTGTATCAAGTATGGTTGAAATATCTCAAAAACTGAGGGACTAATTTGCGTACGAACAGACGAACAGACGGATGTGGCTAACTCAACTCAACCGTAAAATAAATTTTGATGATCTTTTCGCTTTTGTTTTTAGTATTGGATGAGTGCATAAGTTCGGGCCCGATTCCGCTGGATACCGTTCGAATCGTTTGAGAGTGGCGCTTGTGAAAGAAATATATACATATTGTTACGATTTTACTAAATCAACAGCGATTATTTTCTAGATCCTTCGGGTACGATCTCTGGATTGTTAAATAAAAACTCGCCAACTTAATTTGCGGTTTCTTTCGTTATAAAGATTCTATCTAATGTCCTTTATTTTCTCAGTAATTCACAATTCAATTATACTGCACTTTACTACTTATAATCACTAACATCAACTTTCACAATTTCCTCTACT